TGTTAATTCGATTTATTTTCTAATTAATAAAAAAATCGACTTTGCAAATCGGAAATGATTTTAGAGCTCTAATGAAATTGTGAACGATTTTATGAGAATATTGAAAATGCTTATTTTCTACTTTGTTAACACCCCCGGTTTTTTTAACGGTTTTACAGAGATTTTTCTGAAAACCTCTATTCAATAAAAACGACATCTTTCCAAGAATTCAATTTTGTTGCACATTTCGATCTGTAACGATAAAACATATTTCTTTCTATTGTACAGAATGTTATCTTGAGTTTCATTCTGTCACGTAGCGAGATTTAATTATTTAAGATGATAAAAAACATTATTACTCAATGAATAGTTATGAAATACACTTGTAAAAAGTATTTTGCGTTTTTCTCAAAATGAGATTTTTACTTTTACGTTTTCGTGCATCCCAGATTTCTCCGCCATTTTGAAAGCTAGAAAGCTCGGACTTGTTTTAAATCATAGCTAAGTCTGATACTACAACTTAACAGACCCCGATTCTTCGATTATGCCCGATTCTTCGAAATATGCCACGAATGCAGGTTGATAAACGACTGAGAGATCGTTTCTGTAGCTTCGGATGTGGGAGAAATGTTAGACGACAGTTATGAGATAAATTCAAGATAGTTTCCGGAATGAACCACGAGCCAGGAGTGGCGGCCCCGAAAGGGCGTCGACGACCGACGCAAGATCATCAGCTTTCCTTTTCAGAAATTGGTCTTCCTCCTAAAGAACTTGAGGAAATCAGGGTTTCTCCACAAGAAAGTCGGCTCTTCCTTAGAGAAATCGGCCTTTCCCTCAAAGAACACACATTCATATTTTCCTTGGAGAAATCAGCACTTCCCCAGAAGTACGTCAGCATACCTTTGGAGAAATTGGTCTTTCTCCAAAGAACTTTCTCTTTTCTTGGAGAAATAGCTGCTTCTCAACAAGAACGAAAGCGGAAGATATTTAGGAGACATGACTGTATGCTTGTACGTCGGTCACACTCACTGGCCACTATATCTGTGTACGTCCGTCACAGTGTCACATGACTATATGTATGTACATCCGTCACACTCACGGATCACTATAAATATGTACGCCTGTCACACTGTCACATGACTATATGTATGTGGGTCGCTCACAGTCACTGGTCACTATATGCATGTACCTCCGTCACACTCACTGGTCACCATATGTACGTAGATCCGTCTCACGGTCACATGACTGTATGTTTGTACGTCGGTCACACTCACTGGTCACTATATGTATGTATATCCCTCACGCTTACTGGTCACTATGTGTATGTTTGTCCGTGGCACTCGCGGGTGGTTGGAAATACTTTATGCAAAGACATAGTAAGTGGGTGATATATTCAATGATGGCGATTCTTGCGGTCTGCACTGGTTTTGAGGTTCTTCAACTTGATATTTTCATTGGAGAAATAACTGTTTTGTCAGCTCACTGGAGAATAAATAGAAAAGGGTCATTGTACTTAACAGATGAACGTGAATGACATGCGTAAAACTGAAGTACCGATATTCAGATTTAGAAATACTCACAGAATAATAGTATCTAGTAGAAGAACATAGACATCGTGGGTATGGCTGAACCGACATTCAGATTTTCAGATATTCAGAGGATAATAGTATTTAATAGAAGAACGTAAATGTCAGATATCTGAATATCGCGGAAGGTATTTTGGAGACACAGCTAGTTCTTTAAAGAAAAGATGAGGTCCTGAAGTTCTTCTGGAGAAACACCAATTTCTCCAACGGAAACATGAACTTCTTGCGGAGAAACTATCTGGAAAGATCTTCCTTGGAGACATTCGTCTATCTCCAGACGAACTTCATGTTTTCGTTGGAGAAATTGGTCTTTCTCCCAAAGAACTTCTTGTTTGGAGAAATCGGTGTTCTCCGCAAGAATTTTAGCTTCTCTTTCGACCAATTGAGCGCTTGGAGAAAGCGCTGTTTCTACACAAGAACTTCAGCTTTTCTTTGGAGAAATCAGGTCGTCCCCGCCAGACGTTCGGCTTTTTTTTCGGAAATCGGTGTTTCCCTGCAAGAACCTCAGCTTTTGTTCAAAGAACTCGCCGTGTCTTCTAAATAACTTCCGCTTTTCGTTCTTATTGAGAAACAGCGATTTCTCCAAGGAAAACCTGAACTTCTATGGAAGAAAGACCCATTTCTCCAAAGGTAAGCTGAAGTTCTTTTGGGGGAGTACTGATTTCTCCAAGGAAATCATAACCTTCTTGTTGAGAACAAATGACTTCTGCAACGAAAACAAGAAATTCTTTCGGAGAAAGACCAATTTCTCCAAGGAAAACATGAAGTTCGTCTGGAGATAGACGAATGTCTCCAAAGAAGAGCTGAAGTTCTTGTGGAGAAACAGCGCTTTCTCCAAGTTCTACGATGGAAGCACCAATTTGTCCAAAGAAAAGTTGAGGTTCTTGTGCCCAAACCGAAATCGGTCTTCCTCCACAAGAACTTCACATTTTCTTTCGAGAACTCGGTCTTACTACCCAAGAATTTCATATTTTCTTTGGAGAAATTGGTCTTTCACCGAAAGAAGTTCCTGTTTTCCTTGCAAAAATCAGTGTTTCTCCACAACAACCTCAGCTTGTCTCTGGACAAATTGGTACTTGCCCCCCAGAGCTTGCAGAAAGCGGTGTTTCGACACAAGAACGTCAGCTCTTCTTTGCATAAGTTAATGTTTCTCCAGAAGAACATCAGCTTTTCTTTGGAGAAATTAGTATTGCTCCACAAGAACTTCATATTGTGCTTCGAGAAATCACTGTTTCTCCACAAGCACTTCCTGGGAGAATCGCGGTTTCTCCACACGAAGTTGAGCCTTTCTTTGGAGAAATCAGTCTTTCAAAAATGTTCAAATTCCTCCTGTAGCAGCAATTAATGTCCCAAATGAGTCAACGATAGTATGTGCTGGCTTTAATCTCCTTAGTCGACCCTCCTTTACTCCACTATCAGGTGTGGTTATCCTTCATAATAGTACATTTACTGCAACGGATGCGGAAGTAATTGATTTACATCAACATTTTAATGATAATCTAATCTGGCCTAAACTCCCATTTACCACTAGCGAAATTGATGATATTCTCCAATTCATTACACAAACATCTCCACCACTAAATCCACTTTTTCTTCGAAATCCTCTTTACACGACATCAATGCTAATGTTTCTCTTTGCCCTTCTTTTGATAATAGCAACAACAATCATATTATATTGCATATGTAAAAGACATAAACATCCGAATATGCGTGAGGTTAAGATACAGCTTCCAACAATATCAGATTCCCTTCAAAAGTAAAGTTCGAAAAGAAACCGCAGTACAGCTGTAAGTATATCCAAATCACTCTCTTGTACATAATACTTAGCGTCTCAAAACGTAACAAAATTTGAGGTAAACATGTATATAAGGAACACAAATGCAAATTTTTGTAGTCAGTTTTTTTGTGTCACATTCTTTGATTGTTTTCTGCATTCAAACGTTTAATTACGATTACGTGCGTATGATTCACTCTTCATGCAAAATATTTTTCTTTTCTCTCTTTCTCTTTCGCTAGTGCACAGAATGTCCTCTTTCTCTTCCTCCCTAATATTATTGAATCATCACCTGCTTTCGGACAAATCAAATAAAAGGAAACGGCCTGTCACTCACAATTTGAATGGAGTTCAACTATTTCAAGATAAAATAATTATCTCTTTAACTTACCACCCGCTCATAAGACAAAAACCAGAACCGGATAAAGTAAAGAGAACAAACAACGAATAAACATTCCACCATCCTATATATAGCTCTCCTCGCCCTAGAACAAAATTAGTCAAAAAAATAAAAATATAGTGAAATAACATAAAATCCTTCATAATAGTACATTTACTGCAACGGATGCGGAAGTAATTGATTTACATCAACATTTTAATGATAATCTAATCTGGCCTAAACTCCCATTTACCACTAGCGAAATTGATGATATTCTCCAATTCATTACAAAAACATCTCCACCACTAAATCCACTCTTTCTTCGAAATCCTCTTTAGTGGCCGGTGCCTGTGACGGACTTACATACATATGGTGACCAGTGAGTGTGACGGACGTACATACTTAGAGTGACCAGTGAGTGTGGGGGACGTACATACATAAAGTCGTTTGACAGTGTGACGGACGTACATACATATTGTACGAACTTCATATTGTGCTTCGAGAAATCACTGTTTCTCCACAAGCACTTCCTGGGAGAATCGCGGTTTCTCCACACGAAGTTGAGCCTTTCTTTGGAGAAATCAGTCTTTCACCACAAGATCTTCATGTTTTCCTTGAAGAAGTCACTGGTTCCCCACCAAAATCTCAGCTTTTCTATGAAGGATTTGGTCTTTCTCTCCAGGATCTTAATGTTTTATTTCCAGAAATCAGTGTTGCGCTAGACGAATATGTTTGCCTTGGAGAAGTCGCTACTTCCTCACTGAGACATCAGCTGTTCACTGTTTCTCGAGACGAACATCATGTTTCGAGAAATCACAGCTTAACCAGAAGCAGTTAAGCTTATCTGTGTTTCTACATACGAACTGTCAAGCAGAACTTCAGCTTGCATTTTCTTGGAGAAATCCAGGACAACTTCATGTTCTTCTCAGAGAAATCAGCTTCTCGTTGGAGAATTCGGTGTTTCTCCACATAAACTTCAACTGTTCTTTGGACATATCAGTGTTTCCCTACAAGAACTTCAGATTTTCTTCGCAGAAATGGGTCTTTCTCCCGAAGAACTTAATGCTTGTTTTTGGAGTAAGCGCTGCTTGCCCACAGGTACTTCAAGTGCTCGTTGGAGAAATCGGTGTTTCTCCACAAGAACTTCGCCTATTCTTTCGAGAAATGGGTGTCTCTTCACAAGAATTTTAGCTCTACTTTGGACAAATTGGTGTTTCTCCCCAAGAACTTCACCTTTTCCTTGGAGAAATCGCTCTTTATGCACAAGAACTTCTGTGTTCCTTCAAGAAATCAGTGTTTCGCCAGAAGAACTTGTTTCATCTGAAGAAATCTTCACCTTCTCGTTGGAGACATCATGCTGAACACCGGTGTGAACTTCATATTTTCCTTGGGAAAGAGAATTTTCTCTGATTTTCGCATAGCAGCCAGCACAACGTCTTCGAACATCGCGGCCAGATTCTTCCATCTGTTCGAGCTCGTGATCTGCAAGCTTGCGCTTCGTTTGGCTTGTTGAGCGTTCTCTGGGACCAGGTTTGACATTCTTGAATGGCACGCCAAGAAGTAAAGATCGCACTAGACTTTCACGAAACTGTAATATCGTCATAATGTTCGTACCATAATATTCTTTGTAAATCAAGTAAGCATTCACTATAGACACTCCAAATATCATCTCAAATGCCACTGTGTGATACCATTTTTTTGACCGTCGAAGGCATGTATAGTATGCTGATAACTGATCAGACAAATCTATACCTTGTTTTCCTTTATTGTAATCGAGAACAACTGATGGTTTCATGATGCGTTGATTGGCTTTATTGGTTTTTCCGGTGTCTACCAACGTTGCCGAATGCGATGGTTTTGTAGATATCATCAAAACATCTCGTTTATCTTTCCACTTAATTAGTTTTATACCACCATTACTCTGGAGCCAATAAACTTCACCACGTTTCAGCTTTTTCTGAACTACACCTTGCCCCGATCGAGCGCGATTGCTTCTCAGTGTTCCAATAAGATAAGTATCATTTTGCAATAAGCTTTCTGTGAGAGAAATACTTGTAAAGAAGTTGTCAACTACTACAGTTCGATGACATTCGAGAAGACCATCTGCCAAATCGAGTACGACAGTTTGAGCATGCCCAAGACCAGCCGTTGGAGCCTGCTTGCTAGTGTAAACCATAAAATTCCAGGTGTATCCATTAGTACTCGCCAGCTTAAATATCTTGACTCCATATTTGTGCGCTTTTCCAGGAATATATTGTTTGAATAAAAGTCTTCCCTCCCATGGTACCATTGATTCGTCAATAGAAATAACGGAGCCAGGAACGTAAATTGACTTGAATCTAGCTCTCAATGAATCTAAAAGTGGTCTCAGCTTGAACAGTCTGTCTTGGTCAGCATGCTCTTCTTGGTTATTCAACAAATGAAAAAATTTGAGAAGTAATTCAAATCTATCCCTTGACATCGTATTTTGAATGACTTCGGATCCAAACAGCTTGCTTTTGCTCCAGTAATATTCTATTTCTGGCATTCGTACTAATCCCATTTGAATAATTATGCCCAAAAATTTGAGCATTTCTTCATTAGTAGTTGGTTTCCATTGAAGAGTCTTCGATCTCCTGGTAAGCTCCTGCGTTTGTACGTGTTGTTCTGCATATCGATTGGTTTCACGAACCATGAGACTAATAATCTCATCAGTGGTGAAATGTCGGTAGCAATCAATAGGATTGATCGCACTACCTTCCGAATTTGCCGGTACTTCTTCTATCATTCCATAACCCTCCGAGAATTCAATATCCGATTCTGATTCTATTTCGCTCCAGACTTGTGAATCCACATCATCATCGCCATCATACGTAACTTGTTCTTCGGAACTTGATGATTCGAACTGCATTCTGGAAAAGCCATTATCCAAACTGCTCATATCACTCTCTGAGTCGCCACTTTCCTCTGTATCCGTTTCATCGAATAGCATGTAAGTTGCAAATTTTGAAAAATCCAAGTTTAGTTTATTTTCATTATCTCGACTAGAATGATGTACGTATTTATATATGCATGTATGGACAAATTGGAAAAATCCCATGTATCACAGAAGAAAAGCGGATGGGAAAAAACCAACATGGTGAA